ACCCATCGACAGCAACCCATCGACAGCAACCCGTTCACAGTAACCCGTCTACAGTAGCCCGTCCACAGTAACCAGCCCACAGTAATCCGTCCACAATAGTCCGTCCACAGTATCCCGTCTACAGTAGCCTGTCTACAACAACCCATCTACAGCAACCCATCTACAGCAACCGGTCTACAGTAGCCCGTCTACAGTAACCCGTTCACAGTAGCCCGTCTACAGTAGCCTGTCTACAACAACCCATCTACAGCAACCCGTCTACAGTAGCCCGTCTACAGTAACCCGTTCACAGTAGCCCGTCTACAGTAACCCGTCTACAGTAGCCCGTCTACAGTAGCCCGTCTACAGTAGCCCGTCTACAGTAGCCCGTCTACAGTAACTCTAGTTCAATCTTGATAACCCTAAACTTCTTTTAGCAAAGCTGTCTGACATTTATCTCAAGCTTTACAGATTCGACTGCCTATCGATCCGTCAAAAGAGATCGAAATCGATGTGGGAAAAAGTGCAGATGAGCCAATGAAACGAATGGGAACAACAGTAAAATAATAGTTTTAAGATTACATAAAATTGTACAGCAAATTGTACAGCAAATTCAACATAAATGGCTGAGCTTTTATCTAAAACTTCTAATCAAAAATCTAATCAAAAATTTGTAAATCATTTATTGAAAAAACTCTTCAGGATCCTTCACCGGAGCGCCGAAAATCCCAGCGAGCCACAAAACGACCAAGAATCTTTGAGAAATGATCATAATTTTCAAGAAAATAAAGTTTATTATAGCATTTTGGAAAAATTCTTTAAAATCTGTACACCCTGAATAGTTGAAGGCACAAAAGAGTGATGATTTCCCGTCTAAACGCCCAAACGAATCCCTTCTGGCGCACTGAAATCTTTGCGTTACGATTGGTTTTAAAAGAAAAGTGCACTAGATAGGGTGTGTTTAGGCGTGAAAACAAAGAAGAAAGTAAAGAAAAACCCGTCTAAACTTGACAAAGAATTCTCAAAAACACAAAAAACCCGTAAGAGAATAAAATCAAGTAAAAGCTTAAGAGAATAAATGCAAATAAATGCAAATAGAGATTTTGTTGATTGAAATGGATTTGAAAATAAAATACAATGAAGTTTTAGAGAAAGAAACCTGAAGTCTAGCTCATTAACTAGTCAGCATAGGATTTAGATCTGAGCCTAGGGCTGTATCTAGGCTTGGACTCAGTCTTGGCTTAGGCTTAGGCTTAGCCTTAAGGCTGTAGAAGCTACAGTAATCCTGGGTTACTGTAGTTTCTGTGTCTCTAGATTCTGTGTCTCTAGATTCTGCATTTCTGTGTCTCTAGATTACTGTAGCCTTTGTGACACTTGATTACTGTAGGCTGTAGGGTTACTGTGACCCTAGATGACTGTAGATACAGTCTCTGGGTTACTGTAGTCTTTGTCTCTAGATTACTGTAACTTCTATGACCCTTGGTTACTGGCTTTTGTGGCTCTGGGTTATCATAGTCTGGATCAAGACTGAGTCTATTTGGGTTTAGGTCAGGCTTAGGCCTAGGCTCAGGCTTTGGCTTTGGCTTAGGCTTAGGCTTAGGCTTAGACTTAGGCTTAGGCTTAGGCTTAGGCTTTGGCTTAGGCTTAGGCTTAGGCCTAGGCTCAGACTTAAGCCTCAGGCTCAGGCCTAGGCCTCAGGCTCAGGCTTTGGCTTAGGCTCAGGCTTTGCTTAGGATTAGGCTTAAGCTAGACTCAGGTTTAGGCTTAGGCTCAGACTCAGGGCAAAGCTGGAATCTAGGATCTGAAGCCAGGTTTAGCTCTCACAAGATACATCAAACTAAAAAAGTTACAGTACTGAAAACTCTATCTCGTTGCCTCAAATGGTCTCCACAATGTCTCACTCGTCCTTTTCCCTCTCACCTCCTCATTTTCCTCAATTTCCATCGATTTCTTTCGTTTTCTCGATGTGGTCGGCGTTGAATCCGCTAAAAATAGAGATCGACGTTTTCTGGCAAAATTCTATTATTCATCTTTGTTTTTTGTGCTTATCAGTTCTATTTTCTTGCGAAAATTTCTTACCGATAACGTCATTTTGTAATAAGATTGGAAATTGGAAAACAGAATCTACAAAATGTAAATCTAGAAAAACTGTATTTTGGAATACTGTAGCTAGCTGGATTAGAGCTGTAACTCGATTAGAATTCAGTAAATCAGTAAAGAGCTACAAGAAATCCTAGCAGTCTACAGAAAATCGGAGCTACAAGAAATCCTAGCAGTCTACTGTCCTAGCAGCTAGGGGATACTGTAGCTATACTGTAGCTAGAGAACTCAAGAGCTGGATTCTTTCGTGACCTAGCTACAATAAACCATATCCAGTTCTTGAAGCTGCTGTGGTTCTATTTCCTAAGCCATTTCTAGTAAACTAGCAAAGCAATCACCTGCTGGATTTTGTCATTCCCTAGCTACAGTAAACTGATCCCACAGGACGAACGAGTACAATGTACATCGGTACAATGTACAGTAGGTTAGGACGTCAGTACGCCCAGTACCAAGTACAGTACGTACCAGTACGCATAAGGAACCGTTTCATGAGAAAAGCTGTCTGTCTGTCGCTTCAAAACGTCAAAACGCACCTTGTGTAGAAAAGTGTTTTACGGGCGGTGAGATCGGTTGATGAGAATTGTTGGAAGGCTGGTGAGAGTTGATGGAAGGCTGATTTTGAGGGATTGTGAGGGCTGAGAGAGAGGCTTGGGAATTGAGACGAGTGGAAAGTGGCGTCGATTGGAGTGATGATGGGGAGAGGAATGGAGTGGGACGGGAGGCGAGTAGGGCTGCCTGGAATCGAACATCAATTAGCTCAAGGTACTAGCACAAACAAATGAATGGGTTTCAACAAATGAATGGCTTTCAAGAATTGAATGGCTTTCAAGAATTGAATGGCTTTCATTACCGATGCTAAAACAGGGGGTAACTCAGTCGGATTTGGTCCCTTTTCAGTGCTTCAGTGCTTGTCAGTGCTTTTCTTTTCAATGCTTTTCTTTTCAATTCTTTTTTTGGAATCGTGATTCTTAAGCATTCGGTTAGAAGAATCGTGCGATAAGAATTTTCTAAGAATTTCTTAGTGATTTGTTAATTGAACGAAATGTTATCAGTGCTGATTCAAGGAACTCTAAACCAGAGAGATTATTCGAACTAATCGAATGTGAAATGTAGAAAGTGAAAAACAAAAGCCTACTGCACCTTTTGTAGTCTCATTTCCGGCGCTCATCTTGTAGAGAAATTCATACTGAAATCACTTTTGCATGCAAATTTCTGTGCTCTATTTAAACTTATAATGATTTTTGTGATTACGGTAGTTGTACTGTACTGGATGTACTGTACTGGACAAACATGCTTCATGCAAAAATTTCTTGCCAAAATGAATAGATCGTTTTAGAGGAATAGTGATAGGACGAAGGCTTTCAGGAAGCTTCAGGAAGCTTCAGTAAGCTTCAGGACTCTTCAGGAAGCTTCAGTAAGCTTCAGTAAGCTTCAGGAAGCTTCAGGAAGCTTCAGCAAGCTTCAGGAAGCTTCAGGACTCTTCAGGAAGCTTCAGTAAGCTTCAGTAAGCTTCAGGAAGCTTCAGGAAGCTTCAGGAAGCTTCAGGAAGCTTCAGGACTCTTCAGGAAGCTTCAGTAAGCTTCAGGAAGCTTCAGGAAGCTTCAGCAAGCTTCAGCAAGCTTCAGGAAGCTTCAGGAAGCTTCAGGAAGCTTCAGTAAGCTTCAGGAAGCTTCAGGAAGCTTCAGCAAGCTTCAGGAAGCTTCAGGACTCTTCAGGAAGCTTCAGTAAGCTTCAGTAAGCTTCAGGAAGCTTCAGGAAGCTTCTCAGGCAGCTTCTCAGTCAGCTTCTCAGTCAGCTTCTCAGTCAGCTTCTCAGCAAGCTTCTCAGCAAGCTTCTCAGCAAGCTTCTCAGCAAGCATCTCCGAATTCTTTAAACATTTACCTGTAACTGCATCGAGTACAACTGTGGGAAGAGGCCAGGGATTGGTGAAGGATAGGAATGCGGAGAATGTGAGATCAGAGGAATCGGTGATGGGAAACCAGGCCATCCACCACTTGACGGTGGCGTGTCCCAAGGGAATTTCCTGGAATTTTGCCTTTAAATCTAGCCTTTCGATACTTTAGATCTGAAATTAGTGAAGAAAACTTGTTAGTAAGCAAGCAAATGAGCTGGTAAACTGTGTCAAAGTCACTTACAGGACCTGCACTTCCAGTACTTACACTTTCGGTGCTTACACTTCCAGTACTTGCACCACAGAAAGTTCTAGTACAGTATGCACAGTGAACAGTACAGTAAATAGTACACTACAGTATGTACAGTAAACGATACAGTACATTAAGTACAGTAAACAGTACAGTACAGTAAGTACACTACAGCTACAGTACTACTGCTGTTAGTGCTCACTTTGTTAGTGCAGGAGACGAGCTCGCACTGGAGTTTGTCGACGTTGATCGATCTGTTGAAATCGAATCGAGACGTATCTTCTTCATTGGTGGTGTCTCTTCTCGTTTCACTATTCCTTCTACTTTTTTTCTTTCAATCAATGGTCGTCGACCGGGTCGAGGTCCGTCCGCTGTCACCTAGTGAGTGATCGGTTAAAGCTGCAGTGGCAAACACTCATTACTGCAGCTAGTGTTAGGTTGGTAAGTGCTGGGTGAGCAAGTGATGATTCTGTTCTGGGTCTGAATCTGAACCCTTGCCTGAATCCTGGCCTGGCCTTGGACCTGGACCTGAACCCTGGCCTAGACCTGAACCTGAACCCTGGCCTGGACCTGGATCTGAACCTTATCCTGGACCTGGATCTGAACCTTATCCTGGAGCTGGATCTGAACCTTATCCTGGACCTGGATCTGAACCTTATCCTGGACCTGGATCTGAACCTTATCCTGGAGCTGGATCTGAACCTTATCCTGGACCTGGATCTGAACCTTATCCTGGAGCTGGATCTGAACCTTATCCTGGACCTGGATCTGAACCCTGGCCTAGACCTGGACCTGTATCCTATTCTGAACCCTGGCTTGAGTCCTGGCTTGGGCCCTGGCCTGAGTCCTGGCTTGGATCCTGTCCTCAACTCTGTCCTGGACCTGGACTTGAACCCTTGCCTGGATCCTGGCCTGTGTTCTGGCTTGGACCTGAATCTGAACCCTGGCCTGGACCTGGGTCTGAACCTTGTCCTGGACCTGGACCTGGACGCTGGCCTAAATCCTGGCCTAAGTCCTGGCTTGGACCCTGATCTAGATCCTGACCTGAACCCTGGCCTTTGAAGTGAACCTAAATCTAGACCTGGATCTGATTTAGACTTCAAATTCAGTACAGAATTTCAATGTCGGTTAGTGTCAGGGAAAGAATCATGCAGTGCAGATCACTTCCCAACTACCTCAATAAAGGGGAACGCTCGCCGGGTTTCGGCCTCGGCTCCCGAGGACCGTCCACTGTCACCTAGAGAAGAACCAACTTTATAGATAACGTTAAGATCTAACTTTAAGAATGCTTTAATCTTGAACAAACCTTTATCGCTCGAGCGACAACGATGACTTGTAAAGGATCGGTGTGAATGACGAGAGTCAAGTGAAAGGTTCGGCCTAAAACTTCTTTCATTGTTTTCTATTGTCTCTATTGTCTAAATGAGTTGAATGTATCGGGAAATCTGGCCTCTGAACTCTATTCTCTCAACCAATTTTCAAGCCCACAAAACAAGCGTTTCCCGCACGGAATCCCCCAAATTTTTGGCGCCATTCTACCAAAATCGTTTTTTGTTTTTCAAGTGTTGAGGTGAAAAGTGCTTTGGTGGGGAAATTCGCTCTCTTGGCATTGCCATTGTGGGGGAAAGGGAGAGAGTTGAGGGGGAATTCTTCAAAACCGAGATAATGATCTGTGCCTTGCTCAACAAAAAGCGACTGGGATCCTTTCACCCACACCGATCAGCACATTGGGGCCGGCCGACTGCCACCGCCAACAACCGCACAGAATTTTGAGGAAATCGCAGGGTTAGCTCGCTGGGGGAGGCTCAGTTTTAGGCTTAGGCTTAAGCTCTGGCTTAGGCTTAGGCTCAGGCTCAGGCTTAGGCTTAGGCTCAGGCTTAGGCTTGGGCTCAGAGCTCTGGCTTAGGCGTAGGCTCAGGCTCAGGCTTAGGCTTAGGCTTAGGCTTAGGCTCGGGCTCAGACTCAGGCTTAGGCTTAGGCTCAGACTCAGGCTTAGGCTTAGGCTTAGGCTTAGGCTCAGGATTACTGTAAACTGGATTACTGTACTAAAATGATAGTAAAGTACATTGCTGGTATTGGAGCCGAAGTTGAGGGAGGGATGCTTCAAAACGCTTTTTGCTAGCCGCGTTCAGATACCTTGGTGGCCTAGTGGATAACGCATTGAGCTCCCGTTCGCAAGATCAGGGTTCGATCCCTGATGCATCTTTTGTTTTTCTCTTGGAGCAACTTCTATTTTACATTATTATGTTTTACAGCTAATTGGCCAGTACTTGCACCACAGAAAGTTCTAGTACAGTATGTACAGTAAACAGTACAGTAAAAAGTACACTACAAACACGATTGGACAAAGCTACCATAAACACTGATTTTAAATCTCTCCGCAACTCTAGGTCTGTCAAAATGTCTCCGAAATGGTTCTGCTGGGCAGAATGTCTCTGGGCTTAGGTGCTCTGTAAAGCTGTGCCTGTAAAGTACCTGTAAAGGTTACAGTACTTACAGGTGCTAGTATTGTAAGCTTTACAGGTACTGTAGAAGGAAAATTGTAGTGGCTACTGGGTTAAACTAATAGTCGTTAAAATTTCAACAGGCAACTCGAAAAGGTTCCAATTTCCTTAAGTTTTCACTGTTTCTCATTTCTTTCTCTTCTTTCTTTCTTTCTCTTCTTTCTCTTCTTTCTCTTCTTTCTCTTCTTTCTCTCTTTCTCTTCTCTCTTTCTCTTCTCTCTTTCTTCCTCTTTCCTTTTCCCTTCACCACCTCACCACACCGAAGCCAGCAAATGGCAGAGTGAAAAGTTTGAGGCTCGTTAAAAAGAAAAACTTTGAGGGGAAAACTTTGCAAAGATCGGTAGAGAAGATAAAATTTATAGAACATGTGAGAAACAGGTGAGTGTCATTGGCATCGATTTGCTGGTTCATCTGGGTTTTTTTTTGAGTGAAATCTAGCAAGAATTCTAGCAAGAATTTCGAGCTTAAACCATCAAAACTCGTTTTTTACTTGGTGTACTTTGTGCTCTGTGCTTTTGTTCCAGAAACGCGTTCCTTCTAGCGCATCAAGTGCTCAATTGGCGTATGAATTTGGTAAACCAAGTGGTGAAAGTTTAGCAGTGCTCGAAATGATCAATTTTGAGTTCACAGTAATCTCCTGAAGCTAAGCAATTGTTAATCTAATCTAATTTTGGTTTAAGTTCTAGACCAGTCTGTTTTCTCATCACTACAGTAAGCCTAGCTTTAGTTTAAAGCTACAGTAACCTATAGGATGTCTAAGCTTAAGCCTAAGCCTAAGCCTAATCCAAAAATCACAAGGGAAATCGGCTGTCCATTAGCTCCGGGAACTGGCTGAGATCCAGAAATGATCCAGAGCTGAGATCCAGAGGTTCAACCCAAACCCAAATAGACTTAGCGTCAGGCGCTAGCCAAGTCCAAGCCTAAGCCTAAGCCTAACCTACAGGGTTACTGTAGCTATAGTAACCCTGTAGCTACAGTAATCCTAGCTACAGTAATCCTAGCTATAGTAACCCAAGTTCTAGATCAAGTTCTTTCTTTGCTCTTTAAGTCAAATGCGGTTTTTTTGTGAGTCGTCAAGTCTTGGAGATCAATAAAATTGGGAAATGGGTATTCGGTGAGATGAGGAACGATGATTGGAGGGAGAAATGGGGAAAAGTAATGGAATGAGATTGATTGTAAAGAAAAGAATGCGCATTCGACTGAAAGAGATAAAGAAATCGTAGCTGCCTGAGATACAGTAATCTAGGCTTTCTAGCCTACAGTAATCTAGGCTTTCTAGACTACGGCAATCTAGGCTTTCTAGCCTACAGTAATCTAGGCTTTCTAGGCTACAGGCTACAGTAATCTAGGCTTTCTAACCGGTACAGTAATCTAGGCTTTTTAGACTACAGTAACCAAACGAGTCTAGACTTTTACTAGAGTTACAGTAGTCAAAAGAAATGCTGTAACTTTGATGCTGGCATTGGGGAAACTGAGCTACAGTAATTCAAAGACGCTTTTAAACCAATCTCCGGCTACAATAATCCAATCTAGAGGCAGATTTTGTGCTCAGAAACACACCATTTCTGACAAACTCAACTTTCCTTTCCCCCCAGTGAATCCTTATGTACCTCCATTCCATTTCCCATATCTTCCTTTCATAACCGGGTCGAAATGGTGGCCGATAGGGGAGATGAGTGGAACAGATTACAAAGAGAAAGAGGGAATGAGGTTGATGATGGGCTGTTGGATGGGTGTGGATATTCGGAATGGAAAGAAAGGAGAAAGAGCGATGTTATGCACATCCAGAGATACCCTAGCTGGTAAGGGGAACAAGTGAATGAGGGGAGAGATGTGCGGTAGCGATATGCCTCTCCTTTTCCCCCAGCTACTGACAACCCCTCATTTTCGACATGGTTCTAAGGGTGGACGAAAAGCCAAGCCAAAGCCAAGCTAAAGCCAAGCTAAAGCCAAGCTAAAGCCAAGCTAAAGCCAAGCCAAAGCCAAGCTAAAGCCAAGCCAAATTTCTTCACTAACCTCGCCCACTCTTCCCGACGAATCGCAAGTCACTGAATTTTGCGCATTGACGTTTGAACTCAGATTGCGCGTTTCGCACCTCGCCACATGGCGCCTCTTCGTTTCCCGCGTGAACTGTTATCTGGAAACAAATTGATTAACCAAAATTTGGAAAGGATACTAAGGGGGCTGTAGGCTTGTGGGTGCTGTAGAAAGAGTACTGAGGGTACTGTAGGTACTGTAGGTACTATAGAAAGGGTACCGAGGGTACTGAAAGTACAGCAGCTCCTGTAGAAAATCTTCTTTTCTTCTTTTAGATTCAAGCTTTATAGCCGCAATTCAATCTATGGTATTTTTAGCCTTTTGCAGAACCTATAGTAAACACTAAAGGTACTCTAGGTATCTACAGTACCTAGAGTACCTTTAGTGGCTTTCTACAGGAGCTGCTGTACTTTCAGTACCCTTAGTGCCCTTTCTACAGTATCTGCAAACATACAGTACCCTTAGGACTCTTTCTACAGTATCTACAAGTCTACAGAACCCTTCCTATAGTACCTATAAACCTACAGTATCCTTAGTGCCCTTTCTATAGTATTTGCGAACCTACAGTACCCTTAGTACCCTTTCTACAGCACCTACGAACCTAAAGTACCTTTTCTATAGTACCTATAAACCTACAGTACCATTAGAACCCTTTCTAGAGTACCTACAAACCTACAGTACCCTTTTTATAGTACCTATAAACCTACAGTACCCTTAGTACCCTTTCTACGGTACCTAGTGTTAAGATTGAGTCGATGCTTAGCATAAACTAAAAACAAAGAGAAATGACGCTCTCTTATGTTCAAAAAGCTCTCTTTTCTCTTTTCCTAGCACAAAACGATCAGCTGACATAGAAATTGTGAATGAAATGTAAACAATGTTTTTTCCAAAACTCAAACCCTTGTCCCATCAGGCACTGGAAGGAGTGAAAGCACGGTGAACGGGATTTGTAGGGATTTGTTGCCTGAAATTGTAGAAATTGTAGAAATTGTAGAAATAAGTACATCAAATGAAAGCTAGAATGAAATCTAGCAACCTTTTTCGTTTAGATTCATTTCTGAGTCAAAGTAGAGAAAGTTTAAAGTACCAGATTTTTGTATAAATCTCAAAACCCTCACTTCTCCAGTGCTCTGGCAGTTCCGAGGTCAAGATGTGCGTCTGGGCGCGTGTGAAGCGAACTGTTGGACTTTTTTGCAAATGTTCGCGCACTTGTTGCATCGCTTCACCGATTTGTGACATCGATGAGCGAAATTTCTGTGGATTTTATCCAAAAAGCGAGCTGAAATTTGAAATTTTATATGAAAAGAGCTTCAAAAAGAAAAGAAATCGAATCAACAGGAATCTAGAGGATTTAGAGTGATAGGAAGACTGTAACTAGTACTGTGATAGTACTGGAGAAGTCCTGTAATTAGTACTGTGATGGGACTGGAGAGTACTGTAACTAGTACTGTGTTGGTACTGGAGAAGTACTGCAACTAGTACTGTACCGGACCTTGAGGAGCACTGTAACTAGTACTGTACTGATCCTTGAGGAGTACTTTAGCTAAGTAACGGGTTACTGTACAGGTACTGGGTACGGTAGCTCAAGGCTAGCTAGATAAAAACGAGATTGAGATCCTAGAATTCTATAAAATTCTAAAAAACTATCCTCTTGTTATTCTAGCGCTTAATTTAACCAAATGGCTTACTGTAATACTATCTAAATTACGGTAGACTTAAACCATGCCCAGCTTAAACCCTACAGTACTCTGGCTCTAGATTTAGCCAGCTTGTAGCAAACTGGCTGTAGCCAGCTTGTAGCAAACTGGCTACAGTAGACAGGCTTTAGAGTCAGATTACTGTAGAATCTAGATTCTATTTTGTAAAGAAAAAGTTGAGAAAATGCTAAGCACTCTTAGGTAGAGAAATCTAAGGCGGAGAAGACAAAGAACTCCGAATTGGATGAGTTATTGAGGCATAAGCAGGCAGCTGGCTGTCTTTTTAGAAAAAAATAGGGAATAGAAAAGGAAAAGGAAAAGAAAATCTGTGGATTGAATGAGAACAAGGTGCTTTGGCAGCGATGGGGCGGTCACTTTGAGGGAAAGGTTGGTGTGGCGGTGGCTGGGGGGGAGCTGGGGGGAGTGGCCTCCGCCAAACCTCAACTCACCCCAACCCCAGCCTGGGCTTCAGTAGCCTAAAATTTATCGTAAACATTTACCGTAAACATTCTAATAGAAGAGTTGATTCTTTTATTAGAGGCAGCTTTTCAATGTTTCTCTAAAATCAAGCTTAGAAAGAGAGGTATAGAGCTTAAAAATGGTTTTTGTTGGTTTTCGTTGGTTTTCCACGGGTTTTTAACATTATTAAGTGTCATTAAACATTAAATAATAATCAGCTTTAGCTTAGCTAGATATTAAGCTTTAGATATTATAACTATTATTTAAAAACTTGGTTGGGGGACAACAAGGCTACGGTATAGCAAGGCTACTGTACAACAAGGCTACTGTACAACAAGGCTACGGCTTAGCAAGGCTACGGTACAACAAGGCTACGGTATAGCAAGGCTACTGTACAACAAGGCTACTGTACAACAAGGCTACGGCATAGCAAGGCTACGGTACAACAAGGCTACGGTATAGCAAGGCTACTGTACAACAAGGCTACTGTACAACAAGGCTACGGTACAACAAGGCTGCGGACAGTGATCTAAAACTGATCTAAAACTGGTCAACAGGATGATCTAAAAATTCCTGTACAACTTTTTACTAAAACTTGATTTAAAAACTGAGGAAAGTTATTCAATTAAACTTTTTATTAAAATAAAAACCTTAAACTTAATTTTACTAAAAACGATTCTTTTTTGTTCTAAATGTTTGTTTTTAATTTAAATTTAAATTTAAATAACTCCTAATCATTTAATATACAAAAATCAATCAATTTAATCAAAATAAGAACAAAAAGAAATCGATGCTGTAGCAATTTGTTGAAATATTCATTCGTAGAAATAATAGAATCATCCTTTTCCACTCGATCATGAATTTAGCGTGCCGTGCTTCTTCTTTTTCCATTTGGCAGATCCCTATAGACGCTCAATCGTCTGCCTTTGAATGACAGAGTCATCCGGATTCAGGAAGTTGTACTTGTGGTTGAAAAAAAGAACTAATAATAATAAGGAACTAATAAGGAGCTCATAGCTTATCATAGCGGTAAACCCACCTCCATCTGTTGAGTGTCGTATTCTCGCTAACAATTGGAGTAAATTTGGGTTCCCGGCCTTATTTGGATGTGTATGAACATTGAAAGTTAACTATTATTAGTTAACTATCATGTTATGTGTTCAATCATCGCTTCCAATAGGGTCAGCCGATCGGAAGCCGATGGTCAGCCGATCGGAATGCGAATTTTGAGGATGTATAACAGAAATGATCGGGGTTTATTTTTACGGATGTATAACGAAAAAGAACTAGAGCTCATAGCTTATCATAGCTTTTTTATATGGTTAGCCGTTTAAACCGGGTACAACTGGCTTCCCTTTAAACCGGGCTTCCCTTTAAACCGGGCTTCCCTTTAAACCGGGCTTCCCTTTAAACCGGGCTTCCCTTTAAACCGGGCTTCCCTTTAAACCGGGCTTCCCTTTAAACCGGGCTTCCCTTTAAACCGGGCTTCCCTTTAAACCGGGCTTCCCTTTAAACCGGGCTTCCCTTTAAACCGGGCTTCCCTTTAAACCGGGCTTCCCTTTAAACCGGGCTTCCCTTTAAACCGGGCTTCCCTTTAAACCGGGCTTCCCTTTAAACCGGGCTTCCCTTTAAACCGGGCTTCCCTTTAAACCGGGCTTCCCTTTAAACCGGGCTTCCCTTTAAACCGGGCTTCCCTTTAAACCGGGCTTCCCTTTAAACCGGGCTTCCCTTTAAACCGGGCTTCCCTTTAAACCGGGCTTCCCTTTAAACCGGGCTTCCCTTTAAACCGGGCTTCCCTTTAAACCGGGCTTCCCTTTAAACCGGGCTTCCCTTTAAACCGGGCTTCCCTTTAAACCGGGCTTCCCTTTAAACCGGGCTTCCCTTTAAACCGGGCTTCCCTTTAAACCGGGCTTCCCTTTAAACCGGGCTTCCCTTTAAACCGGGCTTCCCTTTAAACCGGGCTTCCCTTTAAACCGGGCTTCCCTTTAAACCGGGCTTCCCTTTAAACCGGGCTTCCCTTTAAACCGAGCACAACTGTTAGGGAAACCAGTTGTGCTCGGCTTAAAGGGCTAATCATATAAAAACCTTTAAACCTTGAAACAACTACCCCTTAAACCCGGCACAACTGCTTTCCCTTTAAACCGGTCACAATAAAATTAGCTAACTTTCAATATTCATACAAATCCCTAGCACTGATGAAATTAAACAAAATTTACACAAATTCACATAAATTCACACAAATTTTAAACTCTAAATCTTTTTCCCAATTCAAATACACTAATCTTAATATTGGACAGTAATTCTGAGGCTTTTTAGAACTCTTTTTTCGATAAAAACCACAAAAATCTGCTGACTTTGGTAGAAAAGAGTCTCTATTGAAATAGAGTCTCTATTCAAATCTCTATTCAAATAAATATTAGCCTAAACGCTTTTAAAATTATTTTCTAACTTTTTAACATAAAGATAAACATTAAAAGAACATTAAATTTATTAATTTTTATTTGAGATTAGTCTAAACTTCATTTATAACTAAAAGAATTGAAAAGAAAGTGAAGGAAAGTGAAGGAAAGTGAAGGGAAGTGAAGGAAAGTCAAAGAAACTCAAAGAAAGTCAAGGAAAGTCAAGGAAAGTCAAAGAAAGTCAAGGAAACCCAAAGAAAGTCAAAGAAAGAAAGAAAATTGATTTTAAAAAGTACTTTTTAAAGATTTGACAAAGAGAAAAGCTTTTGTAGCTCTTTTGTAGACAAAAAAAGCAAAAAACAAAAAGCTCGAAGCCTACAAGGATCCAAAAATAATTAGCTGGCTATAGTAACTAGAGTTCGGCAAACAAAGCCAAAACCAAAACACCAAAACAAACCAAAACTCAATTTGCATATAAATTAACATGTAAATTTAAAATTGTAAAATGCAAATTTTAATGTAAAATGCAAATTTTAATGTAAAATGCAAATTTTAATGTAAAATGCAAATTTCCCTTTCACTTTTTCTCACTCCACAAAATCTCGCGACCGAAAAAAGGACCAAAACACGACCTCGAAATTTCGAAACAAAAAATAGCCCTATGGGATAGATTTTTGGACGCTGATTTCAAATCTGCAAAACAGATTTTCGCTAGCTCCTCCCAATCACGAGATATTGGCGAGTTTTGGTTTGTTTTGGTTTTGGTGGTTTTGGTTAAGTTTTGGTTTTGGTCTGTTTTGGTTTTGGTTAAATTTTGTTTTCCGAAGTCTACTTTGTACTGTACTTTGTATTGTACTATTGTATTGATTGTACTTACGGTTTTTTTTTCTATCAGAAAGCTCTATTAACTCTTGAGAAAATTACTTTTTGAAGTTTCTGTAAATCTTTTATTTTTGAGATTTCCGAGAGGCAAGTAGTCAAAAATTGAAAATTCACGGCTTTCAAAAGGCTTTCATATTTTTGGGGAGGGCTTTCATAAGGCGAAGTTTAATCGTTCGCCAGCGTCCATCGATGGCCGACTGGTAAGCTGCTGGGTTACAAGGCGAGGAAGGTCGGGTTCGGGTTCGATCCGGACCGGTGCAATTTTCTTTTACTTTTTTTCAGTCTTCATTAGCTTTCCATGATCTTCTTTGGTTTTCACCTTGTCACAAAACTGTCACAAAGCTAATGAAGAATGAAAAAAGTAAAAGAAGTGGTGGTGGGGATCGAGGCTAGCTTCTCCGCCTTGTAGCGTAGCAACTTACCAAGAAGATGATGGAAATTTGACGAGCAGATTTTCGCTAGCTCCTCCCAATCACGAGATATTGGCGAGTTTTGGTTAGTTTTGGTTTTGGTTTTGGTTTTGGTTAAGTTTTGTTTTCCGAAGTCTAATAGTAACTTTAAGATTACGATAGATTATCCCAGATTTATTTAGAAATTTAGATTTAGTTGATAGTAGAGACTTAATTTAAGAAGTTTTTCTAGTGAATAAACAAAAAAGGAAAAGAAAGAAAGAAAGAAAGAAAGAAAGAAAGAAAGAAAGAAAGAAAGAAAGGAAAGTAAGCTTTTTAACAGCATAACTTTACAGCTATGCTCTCAAAAACCCCAGCAAACATTCAGAAACGTCATTTCCCCCTCAATATCT